AGTTACATAGCCATTTAACACCTCTTCTACCTCTTCTATCTTCCGAAAATGACGTCAGGTCAGTTTGCTGGATGGAAAATAGTGCTAAGGGACGGACCATTAGAAAAATGTTTGAAAAAAAAATACATGCAAACAAACTTGTTTAATTAAAAAAAAATTACAAACAGAACAACAATAGAACTTTCATTTTAAATGTACATCAGACAAAATTGAACTAAATCTTTGGAATATTACGAAATATAAATATATAAATATATAATATATTAATATACAATTTCTTTCAATATTAACAGTAACTCTTATATAGTTTTATTATATACTATCAAAATATTTTCTATTGTCTTTAATAATCCTCATTCACACTGCCACTGTCCTCGCTCAGTGGCGTACTACTATGGGCTAGGACCGGGAGAACCCGGGGGGCCCCGACCCTAATGGGCCAAATGGAGGCCTCAGGCTATAGAGCAAAAACATTGGCCAGGGCCTCTGATATGTTACAATGTCGTTTTCTGACCATCAGAATTCTGTAAAATCTCTCCCCAAACTCCTGGAAATGATATTTCAGAGAATCTAGATTCAAAAATTTTTCGGGTGAGCATGCTCTGGACCCCCTAGAAAACTTGTGCATATATGGCGCTTGACTTGTGCCTTTGGCACTTCTACTAGGGGGGCCTTCGAAAGTTTTGAACCGGGGGCCCCTGAAATCGCAGTGCCACTATCTTCTTGATCTACAACCAAACTACTACAACTTTTCCCTTGATCCGGCTACAACTAAACTGACACTATCTTCTTGATCTACAACCAAACTACCACTTTTCCCTTCATCTACAATCAAACTGACACTATCTTCTTGATCTACAACCAAACTACCACTTTTCCCTTCATCTACAATCAAACTGACACTATCTTCTTCATCTACAATCAACAGTGACACTATCTTCTTCATCTACAATCAAACTACCACTATCCCCTTCTTCTATCAAACTGACACTATCTTCTTCATCTACAATCAAACTACCACTATCCCCTTCATCTATCAAACTGACACTATCTTCCTGATCTATAAATATAATCTCAATGGCAAAATCTTCTTCTACATTTTCCTTTCCTCTACTTAATCTTGCTCTTTTCTTTATCATGTTTTGTTTCTTCTTCCTTTTGCTTATTTGTTCTGCCATACTTATATCATTAAATGATATCTGGTTTAGCCTAAAATATCCTTAAAGATATTATTTTGCAGTGTGCATTAAAGGGATATTTTTTGTCAAGAGAACAGTTTCGTTAACATTTGTATAGTTGTATTGGAAAAAAAATTGAAGAAGACATATTTAAGAAAAACATGCATACACAGCTGACAACCTGGAAAAAAAATGCAAACATAAAAAA